TTCCTGATCCTTACTATTGTCATTTTCCTCTACTTCTTTTGTATGTTTGTCACTCTCTTGTGACCTGCTATTTCCGGGGTGCCTTGACAGTCGAAGCAGACCTTGTGCTGTTGAAGCTAGAGAGGTGAGCAGTCTAAGTCTGATTCCCTGTAAAGACTTCTCTGTTGACACCCACCCCTTGGCGCTCATATGACCTTATGCAGTTGCGAGCGCCGTCAAACCCTCTACTATAAATAAAACAACAACAAAAATACCACATGTAAAAATCAGAAAGTCTTCGAGTAGGAAAATATGACATCACCAGCTTTTCCCAACTAGTCTTCAATTGCTTGACTGGGTTTATGAAAACTACTCAGCACATTGAAGTTGTGTATGTGTGTGTGTGTGTGTATTTGTGTGTGTGTGTATGTGTGTGTGTATGTATGTGTGTGTATGTGTGTGTGTGTGTGTGAGTGTGGGTGTGGGTGTGTATGTGTGCACGCGCGCACGTGTGTGAGTTTTACCTTACTCATTATTATAAAATCACAACTCAAGAGAGTTTTACAATTATCTCTATAGCAGTTCATAGCTACAGCTTTCCCTTTGAAACTGAAAATTATGATGATGAGCAGTTTCAGAATTAATTTTTAATATGTGTGACATTGCAGTGAAATCAAGTGCTTGTCAAAATAATGAAATTTTAATCGAAGAAAGACATTTTTTCCCTTTTGTTAAGCAATTTTTAGCAAATTTACTTTTTTGAACTTTCATGTCCATTAAAAATGTTTCGGTGTGGATTTTACTGAAAAACATTGACCAAAGGTAAAAATGAGCAAAATTGTGTTTTCCAAAGACACAAAAGCTTTGGAAGTCACCAAACTTAGGCGGCCATTTATTTTCTCGCCTGTTTAAGCTCTTGCACCTGGTGACCCCAGATCTCATTCCATCTCAAATACCTCGATTTCTATTCAAAACAGGTGAGTAATTGTGGCATCACAAGCAAGGCAAATGAACAGGCTTCACGCTTGTACCAAAACTCCATGTGCCGAGAAACTGATGAGCGCCTGATTCCACCGCGTCGTGACACACAATACTGTCATTATAACTAGTATGATAAGAATAGCTTTCTTGTATTACCTGTAATATCTTTTTAAAAAAAGCAAAACAAAAAAATGTGATCGGTGAAATGGTCAAACCAAATAGAATCCACACTTAACAATCTGTATCACTTTTCTGTTTTTAGATTTTGAAGATTGTATTGAGAATCCAGTCCGAATCCCAGCAAACCCAGCAAACTGCTCAGAATCTTCCGAGAAGCCAGACGAGGAAAACATGAGTCATTCTTATACAGGAGGTGACAGCCGAGCGCGGAGAAGGATGCAGCAGGTAAAGGACGCAGGCTTAGATCTCTGTGAACTTAACTGTC